CCATTCAATCAAAAGGACCCGCTTCATGGTTTTCATGAAATCTGTTTGCAGTGGGGTGGCTTTTTCTGGGAAGTGTGAAAATATGCCATGAATATAGGACGCAGAGAAAGAGACGGATTCTGAAAAATCTCTCGTTTTCCTCTTCCATCTCCTCCTTTCACTCTCAGACACCCTCTAAACCAGTGTTGTCCAAACTTGGCCACTTTAAGATTTGTGGACTTCAACTCAGAATTCAATTCTGGGAGTTGGTCCACACATCTTAAAATAGCCAAGTTTGAAAAACACTGCTCTAAACTGATGATGAACCACAATTCAAGACATTTCAGCTTCCATTCACCAATTACAGATTACAGAAACTTGAGTTCACGCCATTCTTGAGCTTGTTGTCTTTTTTTTAGAAGAGAAGTAGAAACGAGAGAAAGGAAGAGAAAGAAAGCAAGAAAGGAGAGAAAGGAAAACATTTTGGCAGGACAACTTGCTGTTTTGTAGATAGAGAAATAAGGGTTTCCCATCCTGCACCATCTGCCAGCAACACACTCTTTTTCAGTTGTTTCATCTCCACACCCCACCCATAGAATAATGTCCATGTCTTATCTCCATCGGGAGTCACCTTCCCCAACCTGCTGCCCTCTGGAGCTACAATTCCCACAATTCCTAGCCAGTAACTTTCCCCTGGTTGACAGACTTTAAAAGCCACATTACATCAACTGGCCCACCGCTCAATAGGCCTTGTGCATTGGGAGGGAGAGCATCAACATGGGCCACATCACAGGTCATACTGACATGACCTGCAATTCTGGGGCATCAAGGTTTCTCCGCCGTGTGGTTCTGGAGATGGTGCAGCAAAAGGGAACTATTTCTGGAAATCTTCCTGGGCTCAGAACACACAAGGTATCTGCCCTTCTCTGGCTGTATGTGGTGCTGGGCCAACACACTGCCAGTGCGGGGAGGTTTACTCAAGTCAAGGTTAAAGTAGGGCTCTGTGGTCTCCAAGCTCTGCTTCCCATCAGCTCCATGGTCCTTGGACCGCTGTAACGTGCTCCTTTCAGAGATATGGTTCCCTCTCCGAAAAAGGATGGCTGAGATCCCTGTGAAGCTCTCCCCAAATTCTGGGCTCTCCCTGTCCTTGCTACAGTTCTGTTTTGGGGATGGTGGTTGACGGGGCCCCCTGTCTTTTTCCACCGTGTGTTCCATCTGGTGCTGGATCAGAGCCCTCCTTTCTGGGAAGCCCTGCCCACATTCTGGGCACTTCAGCAATCGTTCCTTCGTGTGGCTGATCTGGTGATGAGACAAACCGGCCGGAGCGGTAAAACTCTGCTCGCACTGGTGACACTTGTAGGGTTTGGTGCTCGGCTGCTGGATGAGGGCAGTCATTTCTGTGGATACCGGAGCAGACCTGTCTAGGACATTAGTTCTTTGAGGGATCCGAGCAAGGCTAGAGCTTTCTTTGAAAGAAGAATCACCTAAGGGACTCTTGGATCTACAGTCATCCTGTGGATTCAAGTCAGACTTGTCTTCTTGAGAGGAAGGAGCTGAATGGCTCTGTAGCAGCCCACCAGAGGGTCCCCTCTCTTCCACAGGGATTCTCTGAGGTTTACTGTCAGAAGTGTTGACGTCTGTGTTGGTTCCTTGGTGTGCAGAAAGTCCTAAGGGGTCACTGAACAGCTGATCTTCCAGTGGTTTTCCCTGACTGAAGCTAGAGAGAGCACTTTCATTGGAAGGCTCTTCTCTGGGGAAGACTTTCTGAGGCTCAGTAAGAGCTGTATCAGAAGACTCCTCAGTCTGATTCTTCTGATGCACAGCAATATCTAATTCAGGACTAGAAGTTTCTTTGGATTTAAGACACCCATGCGCTTTGTCCCCCAGGTGGCTGTTCTGGTGGAGCGTGAGGGCTGTGGTGTCCACAAAAGCCTGATCACACTCGACACACGGATCCAGCTCCCCACACTTCTGCTCCCTCTGGTGGCAAGTCAGGGCCAACAGGTCTCTAAAATCCTGCTGACACTCAGGGCATTTGTACAGTTTCTCCGGCCTGGGGGTGACCTCACCGCCCCCATGTGCAGAGCAGGCAAGAGGTCTCCCGTGACTCTGCGGATGACTGCCTAGTGTTGGGTTATCCTTGCAGCTTTTTCCACACTCAGGACAGACCCAAGCTACTTGCACGTCCTCTGACTGCGTGAGGACGCACCCCACTACTTTGGAATTGACACACGGCAGAACCTCGGGGGATTCCTGTACCAATAAACGTTTCACATTTTCCCTGCCCTTCCCGCTTCTCTCCTGCTGCCCACCTGTCTTGCTGTCCACCAATTTCTCTCTAAACGCCCTACTGATTGGCAGCGAATGGGTTTCTTCGTGCTGAACCAAGGCCACGCTATCCTGGCACTCCTGTCCACATGTGCCACATATCCAAGATTCATGATCCTCCTGATGGCAAGCTAAGGTACTAGCATCGTCAAAGCTCCTCCCACACTCAGTGCAGATATAAGAAGTGTGACTCTCTTCGTGTTGCACTAATGTTTCAACATCTCGGAAGGTCTGCCCACAAATATTACAAAGATGAGCAGCATGGCAGCTCGGATGCTGCCCCCCTTCTCCAGCACCTTTGCAATCTAGACAGCAAGTGGCACACGTTGCGCTGTTCTGACAAACCGTTTGCACGTGGGCATCCTCAGGGCTGCTGACATACAGGTCCCCTGCATGAGAAACGCTGCTCTCCGGTTCTCTGGCATCTCCTTTCCCCTTGCACTTCCCATTCTCTTCCTGCTGGTGGCGCTGCAGTTCCTCCTCCAGGGCAAAACGCTGCCCACAGCCATGGCAGACATGGGGGCGCTCCTCCATGTGGATGCGCTGGTGGGTGATGAGGTTGGAGCTCTGGGAGAAACGCCGGCCACATTCCTCACAATGATACGGCCGTTCGCCTGTGTGCGTTCGACGGTGCTGGGTGAGGTGCGAGCTCCGGACAAACGCCTTCCCACAGTCCAAACACGCATAAGGCTTCTCGCCCGTGTGGATACGCTGGTGGCGGATGAGAGTGGAGCTCATGCCAAAGCACTTGCCACAGTCGGCACAGCGGTACGGCTTCTCACCCCGGTGGATACGAGAGTGCAAAGTAAGATTGGAGGCCAAGGAGAAACTCTGGCCACATTCCCCGCAAGCGTACGGGCGGCTTTCGCTGTGGCACCGTCGGTGGCGTTCCAAGGCGGAGCTGAGCCCAAAAGTCTTGCCACAGTCTGCACAGCAATAGGGCTCCACTCCCATGTGAAGCCGCTGGTGTTTGACGAGGGTGGCACCGTGGCCAAAGCGTTTGCCACATTCCTGGCACTGGTAGGGCTTCTCCCCCGAGTGGGTCCGCTGGTGCTGGATGAGCTCTGAGCTTTGGATGAAGGTCTTGCCGCAGTCATTGCAACGGAAGGGTTTCTCTCCAGCGTGGATCTTACGATGTTTGACCAGGTTGGCGCTCTGGGTGAACCCTTTCCCGCACTCCTCGCACTTGAAGGGGCGCTCGCCGGTGTGCGTGATCTGGTGCTGAATGAGGTCAGAAGAGCGGTAGAAACTTTTGGGGCACTCCGGACAACGGTACGGCTTCTCGCCAGTGTGGCTGCGCTGATGCTTGATGAGGTTGGTGCTCTGGGAGAACGCCTTGCCGCACTCCCGGCAGACATAAGGCTTTTCCCCAGTGTGGGTGCGCTGATGCTGGGCCAGGTTGGAGCTCCAGGAGAAGGCCTTGCCGCAGTCATGGCAGACATAAGGCTTTTCACCCGTGTGTGTCCGCCGGTGCTGAACCAGGTGGGAGCTCTGCGTGAAGGACTTGCCGCAGTCCGTACACGTGTTGGGACGCTCGCCTGTATGGATACGCCGGTGGCGCACTAGCTTGGACCACTGGCTGAATGCCTTCCCACATTCACTGCAGGGGTAAGGGCGCTCTCCCTTCCCGCGGGGCAGAGGGGCTACATCTGCTGCAGGCACGTCGTCCTGTTCCATGTGGCTTCTGGGCTCAGTGCGCAAAAGGATCTCCCCTTCCTCCTCTTTCAGGAGCAACAGTACGATCCACCGCCTGGGGAAATATAAAGACGAGATCAGAGAAAAACCAGAAAAAGAGCAGTCTCAACAAATTTAACACTGAGAAACGCTTAACTTTTCCGTGTCAGCCTATGCATCACCCAGAAAGTAAGCTGTCTCTGTTCTCCCACTAACATTGTGTCAGAGTGAGGATTTCTTTGAGCAGAAGACGCTGCTTTGAATAGTCAGGCTACCAGTTCAGCGGTATCTGTAAAAAGCCAAAGTGATGGCAGGACAATGACACCGGTGTCATGGTGTCATCTCGCAAAGGATGTGGATTTTGTAATTGTGTCATGATGAAGCTAGTACATAAGGTGTGTCCTTTGCAAGATGGCATCATGACATACATGTCATAATTTGCTCAAGTATTGCAGATACCCAAGTATTGGTCCTTCTAGACCAATAGAATATGGATCTTCTAGACCAATAGAATATGGTTCTCAACCTTGGCGGCTTGAAGATGTATGGACTTCAACTCCCAGAATTCCCCAGCCAGCACTGGCTGGGAAATTCTGGGAGTTGAAGTCCACACATCTTCAAGCCGCCAAGGTTGAGAACCATTAGTCTAGATCATATTGTCAGTATCACTTATAAGGCGGGAGATGACAGGCAGAGCCACTTGGCATCCAAACACTTCCTTCAGCGTCCATTAGGTTCCCTGTCATCTCTCCTGCATTTTTTAAAGATTATTTTAATTTTAAAAAATCAAATATGAAACTGGTATGCTGCCAGGTAAATCACTGGACTTTACCATCATATTTATTTACAGAAATGCCCCATCGTGGTCTCATAGGATAGAGAATATCCAGGGGGACTAGTCCACCTTCTGGAAATGGGAACTTTATGCCTTACCATGCCAACCATGGCGGCCATTTTGTGAACAGGTAAAACTCCCATAGCAGCCGTTGTCTTTCAGTAGCCATCATCCACGTGCTCAAAATTCCAAACGTGCTCCAAACCCCAAAAGTTGCCTCTATGTTGCACTAGGGTGACCGCTAACTAGACATTTGAAACCAAATTGTTTTGGTCCACTGTTCTTGAAAGATCAGACTTTCAAGGCCACATAAAACACTCAAATCAGTGTTTGTGTCTCATTCTGATAGGCTGAAGCTGCTCCCTCATCTCAGATTCAGCTGTTTCTCATCTTCCATTTGAAGCTCTTCCAGCTTCATTCCAAGATGACGCACAGAACACCCCAAGTCTCTCTCTTTCCCACCTGCATAGGGGATTCTCAAGGGCTCCTCTGCTTCCAAATTTCCAGGTTCAGCCAAGTCCACCTTGTTCCTTCCTTCTGGGATCCTGTGCAAGAAGCGATTTCTAGAGGATCTGGAAACACAAAAGCAAAAAGGTGAACTTGAAGTTTAGCAAGAAGGCTGTCCAAGATTAACAGTTCGGTCAGGGTTGCACCCGGCTCTGACAGGAGACCAACCAGAACAGAAAACTAGCTCTAAGTCCCCTCGGGTTGCCTTTCCACTACGCAGCTGCAAGGAAATCTGCGAGGGTGTAGGAAGGGGGCACTTGCTTTTACTATTTTTTAATGCATTTCCATAGTGCTTCCCATACAAACTACAGTATATCTCAAAGCAGCTTCCAATAAATAATCAAAATGCTATACTAAAAATGCTATACCAAAACAATGCAAAAGCCTCTCGATTACAAAGGTGCAAAGCAGAACCATTTATCTAACGCTCATAGAGGGAAGCGCTGGGTGATGAGATCTTCAACAGGGGTCTCTTCTCTTCCCTTTCAGTTCCACTGCAGAGGCTTCTTGATGGAAGAATCCATACAGACAGTTTCATGAATCCACAGGTTTGAAAACTTTGTCAACTGTCTGTCTACCTCTGTACGTAGCATCCCTTGACATCTGCAAGAACAGAACCCCTCCAGACAGGACCTCCCTAATGGTAGGTCCAGACATGGAGGAGTGGGATGTGGGAAGCAACTTAGAAAAAGTCACACTTAAAAAAAAGAAAAAAATCTGGCAGGCTTGTGCAGGCAACGTGGGAGCAACATCACACCTTGCTCTTTGCAGGGTTGCAAAATCTGAAAAACTCTGTAACATGCAGATGAAAATTGAACGATTAGGAGTAAGCAGTACGTTTGCTTCTGGCCCAATCTAAACTCCAGTGAAATTGCTGATTATATTCACGGGGGCAAGGGGGATCACACACGTTCATTTATCATTTTATACCTCAAAGTTTGAGACCCTCAATTTTAAGACACATCTACTGCAAGAGATCCTGCTTTCTAATTGCCCATCTGTTCTCTCCCTTTCTTCTCATAGCTGAGCATGGCTGCTTTTTAGAGGTCACCCACTCTTTCCCATCTCCACATTTCTCTGACCCAGTGGCCTTGACCATTAACCATGTTGCCAGGGAGGATGGGATCTGAGATCCAAAACATTGGGAGGACTCCATGTTGAGGAACTTTGACTTACTTTTATGTTTCCTTCTCTCTATGACCCAGGATTTTCTGGGGAAAAGACTCACTTCTACAGCCCAACTTTCTCTTGCCATCCTTCATGGCCAAGTTTGGCTTACAGTCATCTTTTCACTATCTCCCAGACTGCACTTTGGAATATCAGATAATGATATAAAGATTCCCAAAGATGTACCTGAAGAGACATCAGCTTCTAAGTTCTCCTAAACGGCTTCTGTGTCCTTAGAACATAAAGTCCCGAGCCTCAGAGGGCAGCATTGAGGACCTCTGAAATGAGAAAGAGTCTCACTCGGGTGGTAAAAATGAACCTTTGGGTTCTATTGGGGGTTGATATAGCAGTCTGTTGGGAATGTATTATAAAGTACCTTGTCAAGGGGTTTTTTTTGAGTACTGTCCAATCACCTCTCTTACTTTCATGCTTTAGCCCTAGCCAATCTTATTGTCTAAAATAGCCTTCCCAAATGTGGAAACTTTAATATGTGATTTGAACTCTCAAGTTCAAAAACTCCCAACAAATCTGGGGGCGATGCGACTTGTAGCCCAATCCACCTGGAAGGCATCAAGTTGGGAAAGTCTAATTTGGGGGGGGGGGATCACAATGGCCTCTCACCATGGATAACTTTCTACAGGCATCTGTTGTTCAAGACAGGTAACACCTTACACAGTCTATATTTATAATATAGTTATATAATAATTTATATAACACTGGATTCCTGTGAAACAACAGCCCTCTCTAATAAATAGCTCTTGTGATTCCATCATATCCACTCCCGCTATTAGAATTTAATTTTTACAGTCTTGACTAAATCTTAAGAAATGTATCAGCCTCGTTTTTTCTTAACCTAATTTTGTTTTCTTCTTTCCCTCTATCCCAGCCCCTCCCCTCCCTTCTACACTCTATCTTCCAAGTTAATTACAAGTTTTAGCAGCCAAACACTTCCACCTCCGGCCCCATTTTTACACTGCTGACTCAGAATCCAAAACAGTCTCCCCGAGGCTAAGTGGTGAGTCAACAGGAGGCTGGAATGCACTTCTCTCCAGGCTGAACCTGGATCTTTCTTTCACAAAAGGAACCCTAGCACTGAACCACTTCCTTGTGGCTTTCACCTTAAGACTATGAAGACAAGATCTCCATAAATGCTACAAATCCTCTCTACGGGTATGGAATTTGGAAAGTTGTTTAGAGTGTTCCAAGCTTGGAACAAAACATCCCATTTTCCAGTTTTGTCTCAAGCGTAGGATACAATACTTAATATAGTGTTTCCATGGTCCAGCCTTGGGGATCAATGGAAATTGGAACAAGCCATTGCTTTTCTTTTTTTTCATCCAAAGGTCACAGAAGCAGGGGAGTGCTACCTGCTAGCCAATCTACAGTAAATTGGCAAAGAGGATAATTTCAATATTTTAATTACGCTCTTAGCAAACTCTAGAAGCAACCATTAACCACCCAGAGTCACTGGGAGTCAGGAGGCATATAAATTTTAATTAATTAATTAATTAATTAAGTACACTGTCGTTTCGTTTCCCTGCATAATGAGAGCCACTGTGGTATATACGGTTAAGGTGTTGGACTGGCACGAGGGAGACCCAAGCGCTAGTCCTCCCTTAGCCACAGAAGCTCCCTGAGTGACTTTGGGCCAATGATTCTCTCGCAACCCAATCTTCCTTACAGAGTTGTTTTGCAGAAAAACAGGAGGAGGTAGCACTATGCACATTGCTTTGATTTCCTGTACAAAGGGCAGGATATCACTCTCACAAACAAACATATAACATTTTAAAAGACAAATAGAAATCATCCCATTGGCCAATTTTTTTGTAGACTGGGTTATCAATAGCTCTTCAATTTCCCTCGTGGCAATCCTTGAGCTACCATTATCTGGCTTGCAAAAAAATCCAGATTGTCACAAAATGGCATCCAAGAGAAACAGAAAGCTAGCTCTTTGCTGCCCCCAGTGGTCATCTGGAATCTTACAGCAGAGAGATGGTCACCCTAAACTTTCCTTGGGAACGACAGGTCCAACCTCCATGTCACATGGCCCATGGTACTTTTCCTCCCTTTATTATAAGCTAGGTACTTAGATATAATATACCAGCATAGGGAGATATATGTGTGAATCCACAGGAGCCCAGGAAGATACCGTGCATCTTTTTCCCAGGGTGGATGAGTGGCCAAATGCTAGTGACAAAGGGAAGTTTTAGCTCCCCTGTAATGGTAGAATCCAGTGCACCACTTTATATCCCATCCAAAGAAGTATTTGGAGTGTAATTAAAAGGATGTCATTGCAATTGGAGTGAAATTGATTCCCAAAATGCAAATCCTATAGATCAGTGTTTCTCAACCTTGGCCATTTGAAGGTGTGTGGACTTCAAGTCCCAGAATTCTGAGACTTGAAGTCCATACATCTTCAAATTGCCAAGGTTGAAAAACACCAATCTAGACAGTATTTTTCCACAATGGAAGGTATGTTCAGAGTAGCTCAAAGCATAAAAATAATAATATACAGGACTAGTAAATTCTATTATTAAATATGTCGTAAAATTGGACACTGGCATTTATTTTTAGGACATGTGTAACTACTGGAAGGTAAAGGTAAAGTCTTCTTTGTGTGGAACTCAACTCCTGGAGATTTCACAGACAGAACCATGTCGTTTTCTCGGCGACAGCTTGGAAGTGGCTTTCAAGACATTTTTTTTTAATCCCCCAGTCTAATCTGTTTTTTTTTCCTAGTGGCCTCCCGTCCAGCCCTGCTTAGCTTTTCAAAATCAGCCAAGGTACACAAAATTTTCCATCTCTTCAGTCTAAGCCAGCAATATTTGCAAATTCCATTCCATCTTCCTTCAATAATCCCGTTGCCCCCGCTGAAGAAACTTAAGGCAGCAAACTCTGCAAAATACACACACAGAGCGAGTCAGTGTGCTACCTTACAAAGGATATGCAGTGAACAAATAAGATTGTCCTCCTTCCTGCTTCTGTTTATCTAAAGGTTATTCTTCAAGAGAACTGTTGCAGCTGGGATCTGTCAGGAACTGCCTATATGAGAAAGCAGTTCCAAATCCAAAGTTATCCCCATTTTCTTTGAGCCTGAAAACAACAGCTGTTAAGTTCAGCTGGTGCCACCCTTAGAAAGGAGCTACCAAAATGGTTCTCAACTCATGGTAGAAGTGCCACAGCCAGGAACCAGAAACAGTCCGGGGGGGACGCAAGGGAAGTTACGGAAAGTTTAATGAAGTCCTTAAAATTGGTTAAAAATAAGAGAATGCCTGTAATCAAGTAGGCATCATTGGTGGAAAAAGTGGACTCTTTTCATTATAGGGCAGTGTTTCTCAAGCTTGGCAACTTGAAGATGAGTGGACTTCAACTCCCAGAATTCCCCAGCCAGCCATGGGGAATGCTGGGAGTTGAAGTCCACTCATCTTCAAGTTGCCAAGCTTGAGAAACACTGCTATAGGGGGATCCACGTTGTTGGACACAGCCATTGTGGGAGTTAAGATACAAAAGGTTTGCACTCTTCTGCTCAAGCCCAATTTGCAAGGACAGGAGAGGAAACACAAATGAATCAAGCGGCCTCAGGAAAGCATGCAAACTTTAGAAAAGCGAAGTGCAAACAGACCAAGAGCCAGTCCTTCCCAGACTTTTGGACTACTGCACCCACCAGCCCCACGCCGCAGGTCTCCAGGTGAAGGAATCCTGTAATTCTGGAGGAAGGCCTGCCCCTCTGGATAGCAGGGCCTCAGACAGAGGATTTCTCAAGTCCTGCTATCTAAACTGTTTTGCAACTGGAAAGGCCCCGCAACTGGACTTTCTGCAAGGAAACCTGGGTTGCTGCAGCCTCTCCGAACAATCAGACCAGACACCAGGGTGGGTGTCAAAAAAAGGAGAATGCTAGATTAGCCCTAATTGCAA